AAGATGGGAGCAATACACTTGCCCGTGGGGATCTCGTCATGTTGGATTTCATCATCTGATTCATCAACAGGAGTTCGTTCCAAGCGAAACTCTATTTCATTCATCAGCCTCTGCTCAAAGCTTGAAATTTTGTACTCCTGTCAAAGTGACAAATATGCTTTAATTTCAATTTGTATATGGTGAGGAAGAACATGTCCATCAGTGTAATTGAGGAGGCAACTTTTTAAGATTCAGATGTTAGATATACACCATGGAATTCCAATAAACCAGGCATGTTCTATTTCTAGTTTCTCACCGTGGAGCACTGAAGGAAATTTCTTTCTATAGTGTCTCTAATACCAAATTGCCTTAGTGAATCCTGATTCCTGACCTTGAGCCTGGAGCCCCAGTAGAATACCGTAGGGAATGGAGTGAAGATGACGTATAATTTCCATAACTTCTATTCGTGTTCTTTTCAATATGTAGAACTGTCTATAGAGTTACTTTGGTGAAGCTTTCTGAACTGCATTCTGATACATGCCTGCATCACAACTTCCTGTCTCTCCTGGACATTCCCATCTGTGTACTTGAAGAAAACCTGTCTTGAATAAGTCTCCCTTAATTCCACATGTACCTTCATGCATCCTTCCGCTCCCCTCACGACAAACCAACACAATGTGTCAGGGCAGAGGATGTGCCGTGGTTCCCGTCATGCACACGTGGGCCACATACAAGACAAAGCCAATGTGGGGTCAACTTAGGTTCCTCCAGGGTTGGCAAAGGAAGGAATCAGGGACAGAAGTCAGTGAAGTGGCGGAGCAGGGAGCCAAAAAGAGAGAAGCTGCCCATACTTCCCTTCCTGGCTTTAGGTTTGTCACTTGCAGTGGTCCTTGGGGTGTGGGGTCTTATTTTTGAATAAGGATCAGACCATTGTTTACTATAAGGACAAGAAGTTATGTATTACTGGATCAAGATTGTTATTTTGCAACAAAGTAACCATGGAACTTGCTAGGAACTAAAAGTGGCCCAAAAGGTTTTGAGATCACCTTGCATTTGACATTGCCAACAACAGGAGAAGAATTAGCCCCGTTGGATAAATTTAAAGGGATAATGGGAGCTAACGATAAAATTGCTTTTTAAGAAATACTTGTTTAATGTAGCAACTATGTAATATAATGTATAAATTGCAGATGAGCAACAAAATAAGAATATGTAGATCAAGGAGTTTCCATGAAAGATTCATTAAATATTTGGGAAGTCTAGCCACAGGAACAAGGAAACTATGCAACTGCATGGCGGGAGTATGTAGCCAGTTGCTAAAACACAGGATCTTTACATCTGAGATGTTAACAAAGATGCACACCTTCCCCAAAGCGGGAATTGATTTTTTTTTATAGTGCTTTGCAACTAAGAGATAGTTTATCCCCAAAATAACTATTCTTACTACACATAAATCAAAGTTGTCATTTTAAGATATGACTGACATGACTCAGATATCATAAGGAAATTTGCAAACACAAGCAATATGTTTTAGTTAAATTTAAAGGCACTTTCTGTACTGTTTTGCACAAAGGTTTCACTACTGATCCACTACCAGTGGACGTGCATTTTAAATTTCCAATACTGAATTTATGCTGTGTTCTCTATTTTCCCTTGCCTAATCTCCTTTGTGAGTAAAAACAGAAGTTGGTGTGTCAGTTGCTCGTAGCTGACATCTGCACTCAAAGGAAAGAATTTTTTTTCTCTGTAAATCTGGCCTGTATAGTAATTAGATCAATGGTAAATGACCCATCCTTTCCAGGCTCATAAATTGCATAGAATAACAGTTGTTCTACGAAAGAAGATGAAAAGCTAAAAATATTTATTTCGGAAGAATATGCCACTTGAAAATATAACCTTTTTTTCCTTTAAAGATAACCCTCTTAAGGCTGATAATTTGACAACTTGAAACATTTGATTTCTGGGACACATCTACAGAAAGTTTCTTTAAATTGGAAGAGTTTCTTCAAATTGGTAGAGAGGGTTTTCCTTCTGTTGAGAACCACAGTGTAATGACACATCTCAATGAGAAATGGCATTGCCAAGGCATGGACCATGATCCAACACTCACTGCCTGAGTTCACCGCTGGCTTCCTCTACTCTGGGTGCCAAATTTGGGCTTCAGGGGCCAATAATCAAATAGGATAAAACCAGTTAGAAAACCTGCTCAAAGTATTCCCAACCCTTTCTGGGTATGATATGCACTAAAAGAAAGCATTGTGTATTAGAGAAAGTGTTCTCCTTTTTGTTCCAGGGATAGCCAGAGTTTGGAGACAGCAGAAAAAATATTCCTAGATAAATTTGAAGGTTGACATACTTTTTACTATTTATTTAATGATCACTCATTGCCTTCAATAGAAATAATCAGTTTTCATAAACTATCCCTCGTCCCTGCTGCCAAATTCTTGGTAAGTGCTATGTGCTAAATACTCTTATAGGCACTGAGGATGCAACATTCTTTAAAACATAGACTCTACCTTCAAGGAGGTTGCATAAAATACTTTTAATCCAAATTTTGTACTTAAGAATAAATAACTACTAAAAGATGCAGAGATTTACTTTATACTTAAAAGTTCAGTTAACATTTGCTTAGTTTCAGCATGTTTTTAAAAGTTTTCATTCTTTTCAATCAGCTGATTTAAATGAATAGATATCATACTGGGTAGTACCCATAATTAACTATGATCAGAATCTGTATAGTCAAGTGAGATATTTTCCATAGATATGCAACAAATCCAAACTTTTCTACTTAGTTAAAAGTTTCATTATCCTATCTGAAACTAATGCAAATGCCATAATTGTGTGTTAATTCAGCAAATATTCACTGAGTACCCACTTTGTGCCAGTCATAACAGGGACACAACAGTGAACAAGGTATCCCCTAATCCCAGCCCCCAGGGAGCTCATGGCTGGTGCATTCTGTGTGGGCCCATGGCAGAGGACAAAGGAACACTTCACTATCCCCGCAGTCAGGGTCCTGCAATGCTCAAGGTGGGCAACGTAAAGCCAGTGGCCTTAACAATCTGCAAGGTAAGGCAAACGTGGAATTCTTATTAGAAAAGAATGGATGGCGTGACCATTTGCTCACAAAAGAAGATTGTCATAAAGAAAGAGATGAAAGAGGTAGGTCTTAAATACAGGAAATGACTGAGCAGCTTAGAGAAGGAGATTAGGTGAACAAAAGGCAGAATAAAAATCAGGTACTTATTTTTTTCCCTCTGTCTTATAGGGCAGTATCTGGGCACTGCAGAGAGTTTTAAAGAAGCATTAATAAAAAAGTGAGGGCGCGGGTGAACAGAATAAAGAGATGGGAAGGTTTCCAGAAAAATGAGGTTGAGGAGGAAAGTTGGAATAAGACATTAGATGGGGGGGGCATGAAGATTAGAAATTAACAATCAACATAGTAGTCAACAAGATATTTACTGAGTACAGAATATCATTCTAAGTCACGTGTGAATTAAAATTATTCATCACGAAGGCTCCATTATGTTTTACAATCTTGGGTTCCTTTGACCTCTCAGATTCACCCCACTAACCTAAACCATTTAGGTTTTGTCGATGTCCCATCAAGATCTACCAATGATGAATGGCACCATTCGAAAGAAGAAATGATGCAGCCTACAATCGAGAAATCAGGAAACCTCTCTCTAGGCTTATCCTCAACCCAAAGACACTTCGTTGTCAGTTTAGAGGGCTAAAAATTTTAATAAATATAAGCATCTGAAAGGATGACGCCTTTGTATTTCACAAAGTTCTAAGAATCAACACATGTTAATTGCTAATTAATACATAAAATGCGTTAGAGGTTAAATGCTGAAATATTACAACAGAGAAATACAAAGTGGTAGAAACGTCACAGAAAACTCATTTTCTAAAATATAATTTATAATTTTGAGTTCTGGTGAGGAAATATTTTCCCTAATCAGTAATACTCATTGTTTGAGGACTTCTGATTTATTTTCATGCTCAGTGCAATGTGGTAATGCTAGATCATACAAATGTTCTAGGACAGTTTATTCTTCACTTGCTTAGGACTAAAACAGGGCAAGACAATCTAGCTTTCTGGGCCTGAAAGTTTTCAAAGCAAAATAAAGCAAAAACAAATGCATATTCTTCAGAAGGAATCATTTGCTCCCACCCCCTCCACATGTGTAGGATAATTTGGAAATGAGAAAACAGATTATTTTCATTCCTGTGTCTCCAGACTACAGGTATAGACAACAACCAATACACAGTGCTTCTATCTGATTATTCTCCGATTGTCCAGTGCTCTTACACTTTTCTGAGCTAACTTTCTCTTAACCTCACTAACGTGGGCCACAATACATTTTAGACAGTTCTTCAAGACATTTTCACTACCATTTCCCAAGGCAGCAACAGACAAAACAATATTGTAATATTATTTCCTAAAACTTCATCAGAGTCAACACTGCCAACCAAAGGCAAGCATTCCATCTCAGATAGCTCCTTAGTTTCCTGAATTTCATTACGCAGCATGGATTTTGTTATCCATGGCATAGAATTCAGTTTAAGATCAATTCTGTAATTAATCAACTGTAATAATTCTTAGAATAATAATTCTCAGAAGATTGACACATGTCACAGATATTCAGATGGAGAGGATTGAGATGCTTTTTAGAGACTTTTCTTGTTCCTGCTATTAGTCCAAAAGTTAATTCATGATGGAGGTTTGAGAGAGAGAGTTCTATTGGGTTTATGGCATTCAACTCATGGAAAGTTTGTTTACGTGTACTCACATCTCACGTAATTAGGAGAAAAACCCTTCTTTACCCTAGACTTGGGCAAAGGATTAGCCTGGATCTACCTACAGAGAAACGACAAAAATAAAATCCAACAGCTCATGTGCTGGTATCATTTTTAGAGGGTTCTACTTGCTCCCCCTCTGAGTTGTAAATGACATAGGCCAAATACAGCTCTGATTTCAATGACACTTAGAAGAATTAACAACCACATGTGATGACAGAATTACAGGAAAACAAATCTGCATTAAACAGAGCAACATCTTTGGGGCTTGAAGGTAGTTGTCATAAAATAGGAAAAGGCGGCAGAGTGTTAGGGCAAATGTGATAGTGTCCTGGAGACCACAGCTCTAGTTATAGTTCTACCACTGACTGTTTGACCCCTGTGCCTCAGTTTCTCTATCTAGAAGATGGAAGAGAATAGTGGCCTTGGTATTTGCCTCCCAGAAATGTATATAATTTGGTGAAATAATATATGAAAAGTATACTCAGTTATAGCAAGTTTATATATTCTCCTTCTGTTTAATAATTTAAAATCGATTTTTTAAAAGACTTTAAACAGCACATTTTCAAAAGAGCTTACTCAGTAAAAGTTTCCCAATATATAACATAATTGCAAAATATTGCATATCCATGGCTCTACTGGAAGTAAGAGGTAGGAACACTAAGGAAAACAGCATATGGTCAGGGAAATCTAGAGCTTTGTTTCCAGAGGTCACTTAGGTCACAAATTCCATAGTATTTGGCATATTGTTTTGACTGAAATTTTGTTATATTTTAAAAGAGATTTTATCAGTTCCCGTCTTGGGGAATAAACAGAGTTAGATCATTAAAATGTGAAGCTACATTAAAAATAACTATTTGATTATCAAAAGCAAAAATAAGTGGTTCAAACAAGAAAATAATCTATCTTTCTTTTGTTTGAATGATGCTCTCATGTGGCTTTTCTCTTTTTCTTTCAGTGTAAATACTTACTAGAAAGCAAGGAGTCATACAGGTTGAACCATAGGATGCTGCCTAATGGCTATTTCACCTAATTCAACCTAATATAAGGACTGAGAGGAACTGGTGATGAGACTTCCAGGCACATTAGGTTGAAGGGCAGCTTAGAACCTCAGTGTTCCTTAAAGTCAAGATCATCTCAAGGCTCAGATATCGAAGTGTCTCAAAGACGTGATGGTGTTTGCCAAAACTGAGCTGAGGATTGCTGGAATGGACAACAGACTATCTAGTCTCTCCCCTTCTTGAATATATTCTATTCTTGGTAAACACATGTAAACAAGTAAACTGAGCTAACTGTTGGGGTAATCAGGAACCACAGATCTACATGGATGAGTTTCCTACATGACCCTTGGGTAGTCTGTGCTCTACATCTAAGGGGCAGCATCAACCTCACTGAGGTCAGATGACCTGAGGATCCAAGGGCTGAATTAAGCAACATTATATTCCTTACAATAAAATTGGAATAAATCATCTGAATCCAACAATCTTACCTGCTGGTTTGATCTGACATCACTGAAATTCATTTTTTTCCCCAAGTCTAGAATCACTGCATTCTTAGTTTCACGAATGTAATCATCATTCACTGGTTGAGAAGACTTTGTACTTTTCTTCATTAATCCCTGGGATGGCCTGTAAAATAAATTCACACCTGACACACCCATGAAAAGCACTAGCCAATGTACAAAGGCCTAGAAATCAGAGCGATTGAAATGACAACCAGATGCCAGCTGTCATTAGACACTTATGGAGTTGAGCACTGTACAGAGAATCTGTGTTTCTAGAGGTCTGTTCAATATTTTAATTAGTAAAAATTATTCAAAGTAATCACACTCTTTATCCTAAGGTGTTGAATATCCATTTCGTGTCTAACAGATAGGATTATCTAGGAAGCCACTCAATGAGAGTCCTGTCCCAGATCAAGCTATTCTACACGTACATCTCCTCTTCACTGGCATCTCTCACACCCACAAACCGCAAAGACACTTACACAGACGGTGCGCTTCTGGGCAGCCCCATGGCATTGGTGGGCGGGATGGTAGGGAGAGAAGGCAGAACGGAGCTGAGGAAAGCCACTGGGTTCTGAATCCGGCTGGTGGGAGAGACGGGAGTTGGGGACACACAGTGGGGCTGAAACTGGTTTCCGCTGGGGATGGAAAATGTGAGTGGTGGTTGTACTGGCTCTGTTGGGCCTGGTGGGGGTGGCTCACTTTGGATGGAAACCCCTCCTGGAGATTTGGTTTTCACGGAGGGGTGAGAAACTAAGAGGCTTTCTTTGCTCACTGTCCTCTGAATGGTTTGAGGAGTGCTGCTCAAGGTGAACACCGGAGAGCTGGAAGGGGACACGGTTGCTGCCGCGGTGTTCGTGGAAGGAAAGAAATGCTTCGGCCGGGCCAAGCTGAATGTCTGCGATGAAGGGGACTTCACCTGCTTGCCGGACATTGTCACCACCGGGGGAGCAGCGGAGTTCAAAACACTCATGTTAAAAGGAAACTCCTTAGGAGATGAAGGAGATGGGTTTTGTAACTGCTGTTGCTCCAGGAGGACTTGGTTGTGAAGCTGTTGTAATTGAGTGGAATCGCTGCACACAAAACAAGAGTGGAGAGAGAGAAGGAACTATGTTATCATAGGCCTCACCCTTCAGAAAATATACAGTTAATAACTTGATGCTGATTAAGAACACACAACCAGGTGCCAAGAAATCAGCTCATCAATCACCAGTGACTTGTTTGTCCTTCCTTCTTCCTAAGGGCATCATTCCCATTGCATTCTTTGTGTTGTGGCCCTGGAGTTGTGCAACATAGAATATTTATTAATTAGAAAAAAGAAGTAGAGGCAATATTCCTCTTGTTGGCAGTGCTCAAAATTCTGATGACCAGCAGACAGTATTCCAGCTTCAGAACTGAGCTACATGCTGATGTGAGTTACTGAAAGGGGCTGAATTCTCCAAGAGAACACGCTATACTCTTCACTCTGCCTTGCTTTAGAGCAAACCTTAGCAAAAAAACTGGATGCGTCTTAGTGCTTCTTATCCTCTCCCGACAGCAAAGCTTTACAGATAAGGTGACCATATGTCTGGATTCATCTAGGACAGTCCTGGTTTAACCTCTTTTCCAGGCATAATTATTAATAGCACTCACTTTCACTCTCGGAAATGTCCTGATCTGAATGATAAATTATATTGTCACCATAAATAAATATTGACTCAGAATTTTCTTGTTTCTAAAAGGAGAAAGAAGACCAAACTTGGAGCAATTTGTCCATATATAGGAACCTGAGTCACAGAGGTACTACATGATTTGCCTTAAGTCCCACAGTCTATTTAATTTCTCTTCACAAAACAGTTAATTATTTTTTAAGAAAGAAACTGCAACAAAATCTCTTAAAATCATATATGCCTAAAGTCATCAAGGCTGCCAAACTTTGCTGTTTAGGAGCATCTACTCTTAAATGAGCAACCATGGGAAGACCCACACGAGAGATCACAGTGCTTCTGGGCCACTAGTTTCATGTTCTTTGGAAATATGTGTTGCTTCTGGGACACAGAGGGTGATGTGTTCACATGAAATCTATTAAAAATGAAAAGGTTGTGTATTTTCAGACCACCAGGAAAGTCAACACCAACAGTAACATAGCTGAACCAGAGGTTCTCCAAATCTTGATTTTCCTTAAGTCTTGGAGTTTAAGACCTTTCTCCTTCCCTTCATTAACATTTCTGACACTATATGTGGAAAAAGTAATTTCACAAAATAAAGACCCATTCCCAGGTCCACTACTGTTATCATATCCTATATACTGTGCAATCTTTTGTTCATCCATGAAAAAACTCTTGTCTTGAGTTAAATGAAAAACTGAGAAGTATTAGCCACTTGGCAAGTCACTTTCTTTCCGTCTTTCTTTTTAGAAGTGAATGTTTAAGCTGAGAGAATAAAGTAATGTAATTAAAATTTAATTAAACCTTCTCATTTCTTCATAGATGAAAGATTCAGTTCTGAGCAAGGAAATATTAAAAGAAAAAGAAAAATAGAAAAGTTCAGCAATCAAGAGAAGCAGAAATATCTTCGTTAAATTTTTCTTAGAAAAATATATACAATTAGCACAGTTTCTGCTGGTGGTGGCTTTCCTGATGGTCTGAAAATACAGAACCTTTTCATTTTTAATAGATCTCACACGCAGCATATCACCCTCTGTGTCCTAGAAGCAACACATACTTCCAAGGAACACGAAGCCAGTGGCCCTGAAGCACTGCGATCTCTTATGTGGGTCTTCCCTTGGTTACTCATTCAAGAGTAGATTCTCCTGAACAGTAAAGTTTGGCAGCCTTGGTCCATTGGATGGATCTCATACTTGGCAGGTCACCTTCTGTGATTGCTATAGAACAAAGAGGGCTATGTGTTTTTCAGAACATGTTTGTAGCCTGAGTAAATTTTAATCTGACGGTGTTGTAGAAATATTTTATTGTGGCTATGGAAATAGAGAAGGTAGTACACGAAAAGTATGTAATCTTAGAAAGAAAAAGATGATAAAGAGGTGCCAGGAAGTCGTTTGGTATTGAATAGTTTTCATTTTCTCTTAATTCCAATTGAATAAAAGCTAAGATCCAGTCTTCTCCTTTAAGTAAGACTTCACGTGACATGTTAGCCCTTACCATTCAAAGCAATATAGTAGATTATAGAGACCCACAAAACTTAAACAAAATGCTATATAAGATACAATGTCAAATTATTTTGATTGTCTAAAATTCTGGAAGAATTCATTTGAGAATATCTTTTTGTTTGAACAGGTTTTTTTTCCATTAAAAAAACCTCTATCTTGTTTCAGAAGAGATTTAAAATAGCTGTTTGGATTAATTTACTCATTACATCCGGGCAAGGTGTTAATTTTATTATTCAATGAGCTTTTATTGAGTCTTCTGTGTGTCTACTATGCTAGGTACCGTGGGAGATACAAGTATGCCTGAGACTGTACGAGCTATTGAGGGCTGAACAATTTAGTGGGGCCCACATTCTTATAACACAAACAACCAGGGTTATTTACAAATAATATATAGAACTTATTTACCATTTCCTAATACATGTATAAAGTGAAATGAAAGAGTAAAAGAAGGATTCATTACAAAGCATACTAGTTCTAAAATCCTCAGTAACTCCTCTAATTTAAAGTAACAGCCTGTCATAAATTGCTATAAACTCAGCTGCTCATTTCTTGTTGCTATGAGGATTTCCGAAATCAGGATTATACCCAAGCTTTCTTTCTGTAGCTTTGTCAGGTCTCTCTGGTTACCTTAAAATAGCTTCCCTTTTGCCACGACTTAATTTAAGCATATGGGCTCTGCGCGGACAGACTCAGGTCTTAATCCTGGCCCTGCCACTCATTATCTGTGTGGCTTTGGGTAGGTTCTAGACTTTTCTGATCCTGATTCCTTCATGAGTAAAATAGTAATAATAATATCTCATAACATTGTTGTGAGAATTGATAAATAAATCACCCCAAACATATAAGTGATCAATAAATATTATATTTTTTAGTTTCTGAATGACAAAAGTTAATTTCCACATTTGCTCAAATGACTATCAGAGTCTCAGAATTATAAGGAATACAAAAGAATATATTAGGGATTTTGAATTTTTGAGATAAAATGTCAGACAAATACAACATGATCAATTTGGGATACTGTATTGAGTACTTTTGAAAGCAGTTTTGGCAGTGACAATTTTGGGCAGTGTGTGCTGGGGCCAGCTCTCACGGACTCTGAAGAACAGACAGTGTGCATCTCCTCCTAACTACTCATTCAACGACTTTCTCTTGGTAGCCTCAAATTCCTCATGGTGGGAGGAAACTGGCAAACGCTAAACATCAGAGCTTTCTTTCCCCTGTTGGTTGTTAAACATTTGCCAGCGCATCACGGCTTAGGATAACCAGTTCTGAGCAAACATGCTGTGGTTTTAGCAGTGGTTGCTGTGTTGTCTGCACACTAGAATTACCAGAGACAAACAAACCTCACTGATTTAGGCGCCACAGCCCAGAGTGAATTGGCCTGGGAAAGGATCCAGGCATAGTTATTATTATCTTTTCAAATGTGGGTCAGTTGTTTTCAAACTTCATTGAGCCTCAGAATCCTCTGGAAGGCTTGTTCAAACACAGATTTCTGGGCCCACCCTCAGAGATTCTGATTCAGTAGTCCTAGGGGTGGGGCCTAAGAATCTGCATTCCTGTCAAGCTCCCAGGTGATGCCAATGTTGCTGGTTGGCCTCCCACGAGGCCCCAGGTGATTCTCACCTGCATCCAAGACAACTGCTCTGAAGAAACACTTGCTCCCAGAGCACAGGCTTTCCCAGTATATTCTGATTTTTGTCTGACACTTTGTTCTCTTTTAAATGTTGATTATTGTTTTTGCCTGGGTGTGGCAGGTGGCGAGTGGGAAGGGTTGCAACTCAGGTTATCTCTCTAACTCTAGACCAGTGGTTTCCAAACTGGCTGCACATTAATCTGTGAAGACATTCGGATTCAGTTGAGATGGAGGACATAAATCTTTTTAAAAAGCTCTACATTGTATTCTAGAGCGTAGCCAGGATGAAGACTCGCTGCTCTAGATAGCTTGATATTCAAGCTGAAAATTTCAAAGTCAGATTATCTAGGCTTTGATGATATAATGTTTAAAAAGGACAGCTTCCTTTACTGTTGCAATTTTAAGATTTACATTATCTCTGTTTTCCATATGCATGGCAAATTGAAGGGATAAGCAGAAAATTGTATCCTCAAGATTGAGTCAATATTTTTTAATGCAAAATCTGTGAGGTTAATATCAGTGAGGTTAAAACTAATAAGTAAAGGTTGTAGGCTTCAAAAAGGGTGTGTGTGTGTGTGTGTGTGAGAGAGAGAGAGAGAAAGAGAGAGAGAGAGCGTACACATGTATATTTGTACCTATACTATATATATAAAAACATACATACAATTAAGAGAAAACTTAAGGAAGGCAAAGAATATTAAAGAATTATGTAGTGCTGAGGACTGGATTTCTAGAGAGTGTCCCTACATAATCTAGCAGAAAGAATTTTTATATTAATTGGAAGTCTCATTTGGCAGACACTGCTGTCTACTTAATTGTCCCTTGACACTTAATTCTCACTTGACACTGATCATGATGCAGAATGGGGACACGGCCACTTATGAATTGATGCATCTTGAAAGAATCTGATTTTATTCATGGTGGCAATATGTGCTGCTCAAGACCACATTTCCCAGCCTCTTTTGCAACTAGCGTCCCATATGACTCAATTCTGGCCAAAGAGATATAAGCAAAAGATTTTGGGTGAGACCTCTAAGAAGGCTCCTTAAAAGGGATTCTGACATCAGGAGTGTGACTTCTGTCCATTTGCCCTTCCTGCTGCCTGGAACACAGATGTGATGACTAGACCACATCAGCCAGCTTGGTCCACAAGGGGACCTGGAGAAGAGGCTAGTGTTTGGGATAGCAGAGCAGAGAGATACAATGGAAGGAGGTTGGTGGTTCTTAACGACCACAGAACCACCACAACAGCCCCAGACTCCTTGTCTACTCCCTGCATACAAGAGAAAATGAACCCAGAAATATCTGTTAGTTTGGGTTTTCCATAATATGAAACTCGACTTAATCCTAATTGACATACTTATTAGCCCTTCAAACAGTCCATGGGTAAGAGAAAGTCCTACAAAGGAGGCAATTCCCAAGGAGGTAGTTTGGGGTTACCTGTTCCCCACAACTCCCTTCTCTGAGAACTTCCCCCACCCACAGTTCCTGATTTGGTCCATGTGACTCTTCTTCCTTTCAAACATGAATCCTCTGCATGGCTAAGTATATGGGGAAGGGGGTGGAGGGGTTACCTGACCAGGCTGGACCAACTGGAATTTGGAATCCAGCTGCTGAAAACAATTTAGTCAGCAGTGGCACTTGACACTGATCATGACGCAGAATGGGGACATGGCCACTTATGAATTGATGCATCTTGAAAGAGAGAAGAAGGGAAAAGATATGTAAAGAGGCAACAGGGAGATGCCCAGGCAGACAGAGGATGAGCCAGCCCTGCGAGCTCCAGCAGACAGGCTGGACTGACCATGTGATCCCTGAGTGACAGATGAGGAGGCCCAGCTCCCAACTCTCCAGTTCTCCTGCAGGGCCTGGCTGTGCTTTGTTTCCCATTCCTGCCTATGTCCCTACAATAACCTCTTTCCCTCTCTTTACTTTAAGTGTATTCCTCTTTCCTATGACTGGCAGAACTTTGAGGGGACTGAGACATTTCTGGATGTGACTTGCTTAGAGGCATGTTTCATAACATTGAATTTTATGTCCAGAATTTTGCCTTAAGTGGTGGTGAGAATATAAAACTGAACATCATGAACTGCTTCCAGTGAACATCTCATGGCCATGAGCAACACATAGTGGGAGCACTGTTGCTGTATATTTTGATGTTGATATGTAAAGGTTTATGTAATTATAAATACAATTTTATCATTTCAATGTGTAGATGAAACAGAACGTAGTAGTATCGTGCTCTGTATTTGCTTTGCTATGGATGAACGTTAAACACTGCAACATGCCTCTGACAGAGGCTCTCTACAGAGTTAGGGCGACAACCACAGCAAGCTCCTGAGTCAAGTCAGAAAATCGTGATTATTTCTTCTTTCATTCTATTATATTTATACAAAACCTACTATGGTTACTACAGTGTATCCAGCATAGCTAAGAACTATCTAGAAAATATTAAATAGCTTTTCCATAATGACTACAAAAGCTTAAGTTGAAGCAGAAATGGGAAATATAAGGGTGAAGTTACAGACTATAAAGACTATTAGACATAAGAAAGGGCTTTATAAGAAGAGCACGGAAGTGCTTTACCTAGGGGCCTCGAATATTAGGCAAATGTTTCTGAATTAGTTTAGGTGCAACATTGCTTGGAGGTAGAATATTAATAATCAGAATGATAGTGATAATCACTTACACTGATGTAAGGATGTACATTTTGCAAAGCATTTAACGTATATTTTCTCATTTGGTATTTCCCTTTTTCAGTTCCACCATTTTTAAGAAGGTCAGACTCAAGAGAAGTTCACAGGGGCTCTTGGTTATCCACCTTACAATAATTTTTACTTACAGTTTGGGTTTGGCCAGAACTGGAGGGGGCTCTTTGACAGGTGAAGAAGGCTCTGAGATTTTTACTGCCTGTCCATTGAACCTCTCCAGGAAAGAGGTGGGCCTGCTCTGGTTGGCGGCTGCCACTCCACCCTCAGAGGACGCTTTGCTTCCTTTGTCATCTTCAGGCAGGTTGAAGTGCACACGAAGTCCAGTCCTGGAGCTGGACCGGGGCTCATTGTGGTTCACCAGAACCCCCTCGAGTTTGGGTTTAGGGGGTTGTTCCACAGAAGGAAGCTCTAGGTTTGGTGGGGATGGCTGTTGTTCAATCACAGCCAGGTTGGTGGTAGAGTTGGCTGAGTGCAGAGACCCGTTACTGCTGAGGTCTTCATTTCCTGCAAGGACATGCACAGGACCTGAGCTGTTAGCCTTACCCAGAAAGACTGAGATAGGATTATAACCCTCAGGTTGAGACATTAATACAAATGGGAAAATACTCAAACGAGGCAGGTGCATGAATGGGAAAATGCTTGTCGAAACCAGACTATAATCTGTGGTATTAAAGAATGGTGAGGATGCAGGAAAAAAACTAAATTAAAAATCTAAGTATTCTTTTGGAAAGAATTTTAGAAGTTTATATAAGATCGAGCAGATATTTTCTTAGGAAATGATGATAGCAGGATAACTGGGGTAGTGGGTAGTGGAGGTGGTGGCTTCAAATGCAATAAGAAATTAAAGAAATTAAAAAATTTCAAAAACATTTTCCTCAATAATTCAAATGTTTTTAGGAGAGCCAACTAGCTTCATATGAAAAGCAGTAAGGAAGGCTAACACAAACTCTGCATACTCACATCCAAAGTCACAGGCTAAACTGTTCTGGCATTTAGAGAGCCCTTACCTCTCACATCCAGCCGTGCGATGCTTGACACTGTGCCGTATTTGTTGCTTGCAGTACACGTGAAGCACCCAGAGTCTTCTGCAAACACCTCAGCAATGACCAAAGTGCAAATCTCCTCTGTATGCCAGTAAAACAGAATGGTTACTGACTTAATTGTGAAAATGAAATTATGGAAATTACTGGTATCAGATGATGATTCTACAAAAGTCAATAGAAGAAGATGACTATATTAATTCTTCGAAAACAATTAGTCAAAACGATTATTTGGTTGAATTGACTGATCAGCAGGCTAAATAAGTCAAGGGATATAGAACCAACAAATCCATGCAGACAGGTTAAGTACTGACAAAGGGATTTTATAATAAGATATTACATATTATGGATTCTTAGATTATTTTCTATTTTTATGTCATCAGTCCAGATGGCAAAAATAGAACTGAGTAACGATAACCTAAAACATCACAAAAACAAATTAGGAGTTAAAGGAAAAAGAGGTTTGTGTAAAATGAAAGAACTAATAAAACATTTTCTAAACCCAGGTCTCTGCTATTTCCATGGGGAACTTTTGCTGTGAATTATTTTTAAACGAAGGATACAATTTTAAATTGGACATTAAATAAATACTTTGCCTAAGTAGTAGTAATTGGCTGACAGAGTAACTTGAAATTCTGGGTGAAAGAAGAGTGAAATGCATTTCCACTTTGGTGATTCTTACGGACTACTCCAATACACAGTATGGATGTCTGCGAATAACTACAGAGATAATTCCCAGATAGAACTATGTGATTATAGACAGCCTGAAATTATTAAAGTTAGATATTCCTTTACAGCTAATGAAGAGGAGGCATAAGATAATAGCATAAACCTCTAATTATCACTCAGTAGACATGACATTAAAAACAAAATTATTAAAACATAGTTGTATTAGGAGAAACTTGGCATCTCAGTGCTTCATGATAACTGAAGTGAATTAACCAGATCACCTCTAGGAAAACTGGCCAAGAGGCCTTGGCAGACGGTATTGAGTACTGCTATGGTTTGAACATGTCCCCCAAAGCTCATGTGTTCGTAACAATTCCCAATGCAACAGTGCTGGGATGTGGGACCTAAAGGGAAGTGTTTAGGTCATGAGGCCTCTGCCCTAATGAATGGATTAATATCATTATTGTGGGAGTGGGTTTGTTATAAAAGCGAGTTTGGCCCCTTCTTGCCCTCCCCCCTCTCTTGTGTGCACTCTCTTGCCCTTCTGCCTTCCATCATGGGATGATGCAGCATGAAGGCCCTCACCAGATGTGGGCCCCTTGATCTTGGACTTCTCAGCCTCTAGAACTGTAAGAAATAAATCTCTGTTCTTTATAAAATTATCCAGTCTCAGGTATTCTTTATAGCAACACAAAATGAACTAAGACAAGTACCTACTCAATAACTCTTCATCCTCCTTCTTCCTTGTTGATAGGACCCTGGCTTTGTCTACCCTCCTTGGAGGGGTCATATGCTTCAAAGAAAGCTGGCCCCTCTCAGCCTCAGGTGGTGAATCATAATTGATCTAAGCCAGTCAAGCTAACTCTATTCATGTTAAGTGATGGCATGTGGCACACAATTCTGGTCAATGTGATATTAGGGAAAATCTACTGGGGAATTTCTGGGAAAGTTTTCCTTGTTCCTTAAAGGGGACAGAAAATAGTGTTATTCTCTATTTTTGCCTCTGGATCTTGTCATCTGCATGTGATACTTGGAACTGTGGCAACCATCATGGGTCCCTGAGTACAACCAGCCTCAGATGGCAGAATGAAAAAATGAAAAAAAGGCATAGCTTCTGATTATCTCTGAGCAAGAGTAACCAATCTCAGGACATTTCTAAGGGAATCTTGTTATGTGAGAAAATACGTTTTTCATATTGCTTAAGCCACTTTTAGTTAGTTCTTCTTTACTTGTTAACCAGAGAATCCTAAATAATATAGAGGCAAAGTTTGGTTTTGGTGCCTCTCTGATCTTTTTCTGAGCCCCTGGCCTAGGTCTCCTTCTCTCCGTTCCCCTTCCCAAACATTCATACTCTCATATTTCAGCAATCTGCTCTCAGAAAACGATGTAATAAATTCATTCACATTGCACTATACCTGCCTAAGATAAAGTATTCTGTCTCTGAAAGGCATTTGCATTATACAAGGTGGAAGGAAGAACTCTCTAGCTGTGGAATGTTAGACCATGGAGCTGGGAAGGGCAGGACTTGTTTTGGGCAGAGTTCCCTTTTGGGTGACTCAGAAATTATTTTGTGTATGTGACTGTGACTCAAGTGAAAAAACCTGCTTTGGATGAAAGTGGCAAAGGCCTGAAATATTTTCAGGTGGAAAAATACTACTCTACTATAAGCAATATAAGAGTAAGACCATTTCTGGTCTTTACAAGTGTAGAGCTATGCAACATGGATGTTCAATGTCTACTTCTGGAATGCCTTTCCATTCACTTGTCTGAATAGAGAATTATCATAATGAAATTCTGAACCATCTTTCTCATACAGGGTTAATAATACAATCTGATTTTTCAGGGTGCCCAGAGAGGGCATTCAGATGTTTATGCCCTGGTTTGTCAGTGACTTCTCTTTTCTAGCAGTACTTCTGTTTATCTCAGTATCCTCCCAACCAAATCTAATAGCATCACAAACTTTTACTGAATCTCTACAAATCTCAAAATCTGATGCATAAGTTTTGAGACATCCGGGTGTGGAATTGGAATTGATCTAGCATCACAGAAAATTGCTCTGCTCTGTTTTAAGAGGGCTTGAGTGGGAAGGAAAGGACAGAGGAAAAATATTCCTAAGAAACACTTTTCAGTGATCAAGAACTAACTGCATTCATATTAGGTATTAAATATATATTCCAAATTTGCACATGCTCCCCTCCCCTTCTTCTCCTACAATAATAGCTAGAGTTCATTTGGATCTTTTTTTCTAAAACTCTATTTTTTGCTTTTTTTAAAAATTTCAGTGTAATTTCAATGTGCTTTCTTATACATAGATATATCTCGAATCACTCATTACATACTAATAAATTAAAGTTGAAATAATCTTTACCTGGCTCTGCCATGGATCGAGGTTCTAAAAGAAAAAAGAAGATTCCAAGCATTTATTTTACTGAGAAGCCACATTTTCATCAAAAGCTCCCTATAGAATTTCATAGTCTCTTGCATATTCAGGAGTGATTTGACAAGGTTAATCTCGCAATGTTAAGCAAAATGACATAAGCACCAATGATCTCAACAGGGATAGGATGGCTATTACAGAAAGGCAGCGAAAGAGCAACTAACTAAATGATGTTGCTGCATCTTGCAACACAGCTGGGTTCTATGTGGGATACATAAACCTTAGGTGAGGAAAAGTTTCTGAGTTAGCTGGGATTCAGAAATGACTTGCTTTTATTGGTACTCATTCAGCCTTACCTGAAAAAAAGTTTGTGAAGACCGAAAGATCGTCCTTGGCTTTGGGATCTCATATCCTAATAAAATGTAGAATATACCTCCTGCTCTAAGGTTTCCAAGATCAAGCTCCTCAGGATAGATAAGAATTTCCTCGACAGAAGGTTCTTTATCTTAAAATTCTTTGGCATTCCTGAAAGTGCCCACCGTGGTACTGACTGCAGGTGTTCAATTAGTATTTATTGAATTGCAGGCACTTAGTAAGTAGTTGTTGAACTTAATTACAATCTTCTACACTGATAGAACTATTGAAGTTGTTTTTCTCTCTCAGTTTAAATGGTATTCAGAATATTGGTTGCTGTTACTGCTGATAAAATCTGGCAGTAGTTCTGATTCATACATCACACTGATCAAAGTACTACTATTTTGTAATAGGCAGAAAAAATTAATGAAAAGCAAATAACTCATTACAAAAAATGATAAGTATATGATGTAACGCATATGTTCATTAGCTCAATTTAGCCATTTCACAATGTATACATATTTCAAAACATGTTATATATGATAAATTATGAAATTTTTATTAGTCAATTTAAAAATAGAAGAAATTAACAAATAAAAGTAATACATGTTCATTATAGAAAAACTGAAAAAAATACAAAAATGCAAAAGGAAGTAAAAAATTGACTCTAGACTCACTGCCCAGAGACTGCTGACATCTTAGCAAATTTTCTTTCCAAGTTATTACATTATAGATTGTTCTATATAGTTAACAAAAGCTTATTTTAAAAAAGAAAACAAGTTGCTCTGTATTTTATGGCTGAAATGGGCCAAGGAGAAAGCATGACAAGGTTGAAAGTGCTGTGTGATAAGAAAAGAAGAATTAGCCACTGGAATTTATAAAGAATTCTTATAATAAAAAAAGAACAAAACCCAATATAAATTAAAGAAATATAAAGACCTAAATAAATGTGAAAAAGAAGTTCCATCCCAGAGTTAATTAGTGCAGATTAATTAATTTAACTAGGGCAGATTAAAACAAATCTTCCCGTATTTGGCCTATAAAATTAGTGAAAAATTTTAGAAATGGTTAATCATCCATTGTTGGTGAAGCTGTGAGACAAAGGCATTCTCATATATTGCCGGTTGTAGTAGAATACAGCTAGGGCAGTATGTGTCCCAGTTCAACTGGGATAGACCTAGTTCATGCCTGGGATCCCTGCCTAATTATTAATAGAATTCTCTTTCATTCCCCGTAAGTGTCTCAGTTTGGCTGATTAATTGTGTGATCATCCTAAATTTAGCTCAACCTTTTAGGATGGCATTTTAGCAATATATTTTAAAAGCCTAAAAAAATGTGAATTTACAGTAGAATTCCAGTGCTAGAAATTTAGAAAGGCAATAACTATAGATATTCACAAAGATTTGCTTGGTCAACATGCATTGAAGCATAGTTTATAACAGCAAAAATTTGTGAACAATCTAAATGTTCAACAATAGGAGATTAAATAAATATGAAATTGATATTATTGATTTAGTTTTAAAAGTACAGAATGAAAAAATGAAAAAAAGGCATAGCTTCT